TTCATAACTTACTAGAAACTATTTTCAAGAAAAAAAAAAAAAAAAACTATTACATTCAAATTTGCAACACAATATCAATGCTTTCCTCTACAAATAATGTTAGAACATTCTTGTGATTCATTTATACTTGAGCTTTACCTCTTTTTTAATTGTAATTTAGGTCTGGATGTTGCCGCTAGTAACAGATGCTTGTTTCAAAGGATTCTTCAGGAGCTCTAGTGGCAGCCCCAAAACTCACAACCTGTAGATGTTAAAAACTACTTCATATGAATTCATTTAGAGGCATATAACTACATCTTGATTTGTAACAACAATCTTAGCAAGATCGCTTTCATTGGATTGCTTAACCATCCCCTTGCCCTCATTAGCACTTGCAACAAGTTTATAGCCTTTGGGCGAAGTTCCATAAAAATGATAGTAGAACTTAAAATTATGTCCTCTTAGGGCATCTCTAATCGAAAAATCCATTTTCCACTCTAAAATACATCAAAATTTCAAAATGCGATCATTCTTCTCCTATCAAACGTCATTTCTTCTTCTTTCGCGCGCTTCCCGCATCGGCAACCATCTTTGGCGAGCTGTTCTCCTCTTTCGTGCGCTTCTTCGTCAAATCATGCAGCGAATTTTTTTGGCGTAGGTGAGCAATCCAATGCCAATATTGGCGTCACACTGTTCACCTACCGGAATTTGGCGTGTGATTTGGAGTTTGAATGGAGCAAATGGCGGACAGCATAGGGTGGTATGGAGTTTGGTTGGATATGGTCTTAGACATGAACAAATCCTCTCTATCTCCTTACTAAGCAAACAAATATTGATGAGGTCTTTTTCAAACTCAAGAATTATCTATTTGTCTTCATCATATCTCTTTCTAAACATTTTCTCTTGATTACAACCCACATTCCCCCAAGCTTAAAGTTTACCAAATAAATTCAATAGTAAATAATTACGAACATTCATATGTAACAAAAATGCTGCATACTATTAGAGTACAAAAACAATGCTATTACATAAACTTAATATAGCTCATTGTATTACCTAATATATAGCCAATCTCTCTATAAATAGTCTACAGGTTTTATGTACTGTATATGAATTAATAAAATTTCCTTTTCTCTGTTTTAATTGTCGCTTGCTGTCTTGTATCAAGAAACTCAGTTCTTGAGTTTCTACAAAGCTCATGTAGTCATGTAAGACATGAGAGGATTCGAACTCAAGGCCTCAATATCGATGTTCTTTGTTCTTTTTCAAGCCTAAGTATTTAGCTTTTTACTAAATTTATGAGAAATTGTAGAAACTAGGATTGCTGAGAAGATAGCATAACAGAACAGGAAAACTAACTAAGCTGTAATATTATTATGACACAAACAACATTACCGCCTGCTCTTATATAGAGAGGCAGGTAAACAAGTTTAGTATAATTACAAAGAAGCCAGGAAAAATCTAGATAGAAGCAGTACACCTAAAATACAAAATATATGTATATTCTAATAGAAATTGGGAAATTTTTTTTAGTAAAAGTTCAAATCTTCCTCTTCAAAATGCTCAGAAAGCAAACTCATGCATATATCTTCGAAAGTCTAATTAAAAGAGCTTTAAGGAATTTACATAAAAATTAAACTTTTTTTTTTAACTGTACAAACTCGTAAAATCTCTCAAATATTATGATTTTATCTTTAGACGAATAAAAAGTGTGGACTGAATTATAAATTCTTTAAATATATTTTAATGCTTAAAAAATGAAATTTTATATATTAACTTATAATGAAAGAACCTTGTTTTTAAACTGCATGATAATTGAGTGACTAGCTTTGTTTGGGATGATTTTTAATTTTATTCTTAAAGCAGCATTTTAGCATAAAATTTTTATTTTTTTACTAAAAAAACTGCTTTAACAAACAAAAAGAAGTTCGTCCCAAATGAAACGAAGCCTTATGATCTATTTGAGACAACTTTCTTACTATTTTATTTTTTAGATCGAAACTCCACTTTTACTTGACTATTATCATTTTATTATTTTCATAAAAAATTTGTGCTAGCTCATTATTTTCTACATTAGCTTTTAAAAAAAATATTTTTCACACAACAGCTCTATAGTCAACTTTTCAAAAAGCTATAATTATCTCAAACAGACATTGATCTCAATTAAAGTGAAAGTAAAGTGAGCTCTAACATGAGTGAGGCTAGAGAAAATCACTTACTTTATCATCAAGATTTTACTTGTGACAGTTTTCATACTGCTTTCTAAAATATTTTTACAGCATAAAAATTTATTGAAATAGAAATTTTTGTATTATAAAATTAAGATTAGCCCAACCAAAATTTGAATGGTCACAGGCACGGACTCTCTGAAATTAAAAAATTAATAAGTTTTAAAAAGAATCATAATTTTAAAAGATTTTATAGAAAAAAAAATTATTTGAATCATAGTTTTATGTATAAAAAAGAATTCAAATTTATCATTGGGAGTACAGCAAATTCCGAATAAAAAAAGCCATTTAGACCTCCGCCACTCTTCATGCCGCCTCGTAAAAGAGGTCACGCGTCTATGATGACATCCATCGCTTCAACCCACGAGAAGAATGTCAGAACAAAAGAAAAAGAAAGAAAATAAAGCACCCATTTTGATCGACACAGCATCTTCACTTCAAACGTAAACAAACCGAACCTCCCATTTTACTATTTTAACAGTACTCAAAGAACAGAAAAACAAAAAAAGAAAGAAATTTGATAGCTCAGAGATCTTAGAACCAAACATTTAGAAGAAGAACACAGAGGATCAGTCATCAAACTAGTTACAGACCAAATTTCATTAACGGTTCTTTTCCAAGCGAAAGCTCCTCCAACCACTCAAACATCCTCTCCCTTCTCTCCATGAATCCTGCAACTCGTCTCCTTCCTTCTCCTTTCTTCTTCGCATTCAAAACCTTTGCAGAAACTACGTCCTCCGGCGAACACGTGCACCCCATCAACCCGCCGCCCAGTAATCTCCTCACCGCATTCCCTCTCTTCTCTACGGTCTTCACGCTGCCGCCTCTCGCCAGTCTCACTCTTATGTCACTCAGCTCCATCTCCGGCGCCATCGCGACGCCTAACCTCAACAATCCCCACCCCACCGGCGGCGCCGAGCCTGTGCTCCTCCTCCCACTACTATTTCTGCCGGCAGGCCTGACCCGAGGTTTCGGGCTGGGGTATGCGTACAAGGTGTTCGATCTTATGCGTGCCAGAGACTGCGGGGCGTCAGAGCTGCTCGCGCAGCTGTTCGACGAATGGCTTCGGCTGACGCTAGTGCTACTGTCGACGCTGACGCTTGCGGTAGAGTCGGAGCGAGACACGGACCGAGTCGGGCCAAGAGGGAGGAGCTGGCCGTGGAAGAAGACGTCCTCGGCGGCGCACATGCTGACGAGCTCAGTGGATGAGTGGTTGCCGCCGCCAGCTAGGATTCTGAACTCGAACTGTTCATCCTTTGGAGGCGAGGCGGCGCTGGCGCTCTCCTCTTTGGGATTGTTGTTGTCGGGTTTGGAGACTGGGAGGTCGGAGAGGGAGAGGGCCTCGTCGGAGTCGGAGTCGGAGTCGGAGTCGAAGGTGACCCACTTGGTTTCATCCGCCATTGTTGTTATGCTTCTGGCGGTGCTCTGACGGATTTTATATAGTGGGAGATGTTAGAAGTTATATTTGTAAAAATAAATTTTTAGCATATTCTAATTTACTTTGTATAGAGATGAGGATAAACGTCGTTGAGCATTATCTTGATCGAGCATAAATCTCAATGCATTTTGACTTGAAAGCTACCAAAATTAAATTCAATGTCTACTTAAATTTGATTTCAGCAAATTTATATTAGAACTAAGGCTTCGTTTGGGACGGCTTTCTTGTTGCTTCTTAAAGCTGCTTTTCAGTACGAAAGTTTAAATTTTTTTACTAAAAAGCTGCTTTAAGAAGCATAAAAAAATCTGTCTCGAACAAAGCGTAAATGTCTCAATGAAATCAACCATATGATACCAAGTGGTCCTATCCAAGCTTATCCAAGTCGGATTTATGAGCCTAAATTAATAAAGGAAATGAACTATATGACATGTAATTAGAAATTTCATGTATTAATATGAAGACAAAACGATTTTCAAATCTTGGATGCTTATAGGCAAATTGATATCATGACGGAGATAAATCCAAGAAACTCATAATTGAGTAATTCCTATAACATTAAGACACTTAAATGCTGAAGGAATGCTCTATAATCAAGATAACCAATTTAATTCATCGGATGGAATTAGATTTTGTCCATATTTATAGAGCATGCAACTCTAAAAAAAATCTATGAATCGCCCTTCACTCCCTATATAAGGGGGATTTGGAGCTTGGACATAAGTTTGAGATTCAAGAGAGTTTAAAGGATCTAAAAATCTTGAAGCTTTTTTCAAGACCACTATCGGTCCACCACCAAATTGTTGCCATCAAACCACTTCTAGACTGACGTCATCAGACCACCTCTAGACTAATATCGTTGGCTATGGCTTGCATGCTATCATTCGAACAACACTTGACCCTTGCTGTAAAAATACACTACTAAATCGTTGTTGCTAAATCACCTCCCAACCACCGCTAGTGAACCACCTCCTTCATCCAAAACACTAGTCGGTCATTGTCATCAGTACACCACCCAACCATCCAACCCTTGTCATCAGAACATCGCTTGACCACCATCAACATTGTCTAACAAATATCACCAAACTATAATCCTTCGACATCTACTAATTATCATCATGCTATAGTCCTTCAATCATCTTCATCTGACTACAATCCTCGAATCTCCGACCACTGTCGCCCTGATCATCATCATATAATCACTATGAAATGGCTGCCACTCAACCAAAATTGTCAGATTATTATCACTCAGCCACAACCATGAGAATACCTCTTGCTTATATCAAATTCACTTTATTTTCTACAAGTTCTCCATACTCTTAAAATATTATCGTCTTTACATCAATGTAGGCAAACTTTGTGTAATCAACACTCACATAATGCAATCATTTCAACTGGATCAGACTTCATAATTTTTCCACTTTTTAGATATTTCATATAAAAACTATATTCTTACATGTGCAACTTTCATTTATTTGTCAGTAAGCTCAATATTTCTATAAATCTAAGACAAAATTATCTTATTCCCCTACCATGAATTGTCTTATGGATTGAAAATCGCCATCCTTTTTTTCCGGGGGGCAATATATCACAATCATTAGGCAATGCCTTCCAAATCAGCATCTCACAATTTCTCACAGCAGATTTTTACGATTTTGCCACAATTTAAATACTTTTTTAAAAGACAGGGATCACAAAATCAAAGCTAAATTTATTTATTTCTTCTCACTCCTCTTAGGCTTCTAAAAAATTTTTGCACTAAAAAATTATTTTAGAAAATAATAGGAAAGTTATTCCAAACAAAACCTTACAACAAATACAACAACAACAACATCAAGCCTTTGCACCACTATGTGGGGTCGGCTACATAAATCATTTTTCTCTATTATATCTTGTTAAAAGTTAAATTCTTGTTTAAATCTAATAAATAAATATTATTTCTAATATTTTCTAACCAAATATTTTTAGGTCTACATCTATCTTTCTTAACATAAGTACTTAAATCTAATACATTTACTTTCCTAACTGGGTCATCAGAAGGCAATCAATTTATGTGACCAAACCGTCTAAGGCGACTCTTTGTAATCTTATCTTCAACTAGAGCCACTCCAACCTTCTCATTTATATTCTCATTTAGTATCCTATCTCTCTAAGGTTAAAGCCACTCATTCATTTGAGTGTCCTCATCTCTGCAACACCTAATTTAGTATTATGCTTCTCTTTTAATGGCCAACATTCGGCACCATAAAGCATTGATGGTCTCACCATCATCTTATATAATTTTTCATTTAAGTTTGAGGGGGACTTTTCTATCACATAATGGATCCAAGATATCTAAAACATATACTCTTATTAATGACTTGATTGTCCAAAGTCACAATCCCCTCAGACCCTCACTAGATATATTATTACAAAAATTTCTTGAACTAGGAGCAGAGATTGGCTAGAATCATAATATGATGAGTTGCCGCAGCCTAAAATCTAATTAATTAAATTATTTTGAATAAATTTTAAATTACGATAGGATAACCTAGATGTTGAATCATCGATTCACAAACAAAAGATTAGCTAAATTATAACCCTAAGGCCATACAAAATTACCTTTTTGCCCTCACTTTTGCATGATTTAAAATATCTGATTGAAGCTGAAAAGCAAAAGTAGCATACCCTAAATTTCTAACATTTTGGCAAATTTTTCAAAAATATTGAGCAAAAAGTCAGCAGCTATATGATTTTGAAGCAATTTGTTCATAAAAGAGAGCCAAAATCTCAATTATTAAAGCAATATGTCAACCTGGATTTGAGCGGATCCTTCAGTCTCTGTAGCACGGATTCTCGAATGACAAGATCAAAGCAAAAAAGTTCTTTTTTTTTAATTATTATTGTAGGAAATAGTTATAATAAAGTTTTAAAGGAGGTAAAAAAAATTGTCAAATAGTTAAAGTGAAGTGAACTCAACTCACTAGTTTGGTTTGTCGATTGGGAGCTTGATTATGAATCAAGAAAATTTAGATTTGAATTTTACCTATGTGATGTGCTTGTTAGAGGTGTCAAAACAGGTCTACGGGTCCAACCTGAGTTGACCCAACATGAATCGACAATTTGTTTGATTAAAAAACAAGTGAGTATGACGGCAGGAGAGGCGGTACAACAGCATGCAAGGATCAACGTGGGCTGAGGCGGTGCTAGTGCGGCTCAAGGTGCGATGTTAACATGGACGTACGCGTCAGTGTCTGAGTTTTTGACTCGTGCCGATTGGTGCCTGACAGTTTAGGACGGAGGACACGCGAACGTGGATGGCAACGATGGTTGTGATTCGACTAGAAGAGGTCAAGTGACACGTGAGCGCGGATGGCAGACGCGACCAGACATTCAAACGAGGTCATGCTCGAGCACTAGACGCGGTAGCTATTTTCCTGTGTCAAATCGGATTGCTTATGAGTTTCCGGATTAATCTAAACTCGACTCGATTTTGCAAACAGGTTGAAAACTTGAACACAAATCGGAACCCAACCTATATGACAAACGAGTTGACTTGAATCCGAAATTTTTCTGATCGGATCAGATTTTGACACTCTTAGTGCTTTTGAATTTATCCTAAATGTAAAAATTAAAAAACAAAAAAATAAAATAAAGTGAAAGCAAAAGTGTTTGTGGACAGTACGTAGTGGATCAGCGAAGTGGGAAAGCAGAGCAACCTCAGCAGTCACTATAAATTTGTTTTTATTTTACTTTCTCAGGACATTTGCTGCTGCTGTTCTTTGGCAGTTTATCGTTTACTGTTTTGTTTATTGAGTTTCATTTTGAATGCGGGAAGCAAAGAAGCTTCTTCTAGCAGATCTGATATGTCTGTGTTTTATCATATATATATAATATTATGAAGTTTTATTATTGGTGATATTATATTATCACTATATTTTATTATATAATATATATTCATCCTTTTTTTTTCTTGAATCAGATACTAATATTTACCATATCTTCTACAATATGAACTTTCTTAGCTTTTTCACTTCTCATATAAATAAAACATGTAAATGGCTCCTTTACCAAATAAATCCAACCAAAAAGCAGCTAAATTCCTTAACTTTTTAGGCATGCAATGGAATAGAGTGGTGAGAATATATTATGAGCATAAGATATATTTATTATTAACAAATTAAATATTGTAAGATGATAATGAAAATTTTATATAATTATTAAAAATTTTGTTTGTTGTATTAAAGTTTTAAATAATTATTGAAAATTTAAATATCTCATTAAAATTTACTCTTTTGTATTTCAATTAATGTTTATTTTTAATGAGATGGGTGGATGTCATATTTGACAAATCTATCAATTTTATATATTAATATCATTATAATTTTAATTTATCATTATTTTTAGATAGAATGCCGTTTTTTCTTTTACAAGATAGCGAGAAAAATTTATTTATTTTTTGAAATTGAGAGCCTTCAGAGTTGAAGCTTGTATATTAAGGCTATAAAAGACTATAAAATACACATTTCATAAAAGTCAAGGGAAATAAAGCGAAAAAAGAGGACATTGAATATGCCCTGATCAAAACCACAAATAAAAGAATTAAAAGGACTCGGACGGGCTTGAAACATGAATCACAAAAGTGCATAACAAGCACATTATGTGTTGAGATGGATACAAAAAACATCTATTAATAAAGAAGAGGAGGGGAAGTCAGAAGCGTCATCCGACATCAACACAACAATTAGCTTTATTATGATCAATAATATTGTAAAAAGTAGCATTAGAACTCTTCCAATGGCGAGCCTGGAATGGTCAGTAAAAGTCATATCCACGAAGCATAAAGATGTAGTCATGAGGAGGATATTAAAGTTTCTAGGCTCAACCATTCAAGTAAGGCAGAAAAAAAAAACTTTGTCATGAATGGACTATTTTTTAATAGAAAAAAAACCTTTGTCATGAATGGACTATTTTTTAATAGCCAATGTGACAAAAGATAGTATGAAACTATTCCATTTGGTCCATATTCTACTAGAGCT